CCCACCGGGCACATCAAGAGACGGTACGTCGGTGTGAGGTGCCTATCTTTTGGATCTGACGGTGCGTTCACGAAATGGAGTTGGTAGGGGAGCTACAACGGAGAGATGACAAATGGCTAAGAACCTTTGAGAAGGGGTGCAGGCGGTTACAGGTGATGGTGGGGGAGTTGTCTCCGCGGTCAAAAGAGGAGCCAAAGGTCGAAGGGGGAGCGATTTCTCTGGCTGATTGGTTGAAAGATATGACCGACGACATGCTGAATATTATCTGGATGCTGGAGGAGGGGCCGCCCGGACCGGATCCCAAGCTCGAAGCCTGCATCGATTGGAGGACGGCTGATGGCATGATGTCCGCTTGCCATGCCCTCTTCACTGAGGGTCGCAACCTGTGTTATATGCTTGAGGAGCGGCTGGAGGGTGATAACGATATGGAGGATGAGGTCTACCAGGAGGATGGAGCGAACGAAGAGGATGAAAACCTCGGCGTTAGCATCAACAACAACAATAACAATGACAACAACAACAGCAACAACAACAACAACAACAACAACAACAACAACAACAACAACGTCAACAACAACGGCCACAGCGACAACGACAGCGTCGACAACAGCAACTACAATGATGACATCAACAACAACGTCGTCATCAATAGCTTTAACGAAGACAGCGCGGTCGTCGTTGACGGTAAATGCATCAATAAGGACAACAGCAACAACAACAACAACAACAACAAAGACATCAACAGCGGGACTGGCAACAGTGACAGTGCACTCATTTTCACTATCAGTATGGTGACTGAGATGCCGGGTTCTGACGTGGACAGTGGGAAGGTGATTGGGGCTGAAACAAAGTGGGATTCTATCCTTCCTCCCTTCAAACTCGATATGGAATTGCTTATTGCTGTCCGGTTCAGGGCGGGGGTAGGATAGGCGAAGGGGATTGAAATTGTCCCGCCCGCAATTTCAATTGAGAACGACGATCTGCCTCTGCTCGGCATCCTTACGGAAATATAATTGGTTAGGGTTTCCCCCTCGGATCTCATAATTTGATTGATCAACATAAGATAGTCACGTTTTGGTGATACCCCCAAGGGGAGTTGGGTAATTTAGGGTTTCACGTTTTGCTTTCGCCTCCTTGTTGGGGGATTGATGAACATATGTTTTGGTAGGATAACGCATCATGGGCTGTAGGTCAATCCTTCCCTTACGCAGGGACGTAATCAATGCCTCAACTCTTTTCTGAGATTAGGGTTGACGTGCCAACACACAAATTGAATAGGGATGCTGGCCCCGATTTCCAGCTCATACGTATCACATCTTTGTGACGCTAGGGTTTCGTGTCTTGTTAGAGTGACATATCCCCACAACACTTTACAGGGACGCTGGACCCGATTTCCAGTTGAAACACATCATAATGTTGTATAGGGACGTTGAACCCGATTTCCAACAGGTGTAGCTCCCCACCAATAGATGGAGCCTTCGTTGCAGGGACCTACTTAGCGGGGCTGCTCTTATCACCTCGTTAAGTGGGTTTCCCACATGCGAAGTTGAAAAGAAAAAACGAAAAAAAAAAGTGCATAGGAGCATGAGGAAGGTGCGGATGATGGAGATCTCGACGATCGAAGAAGGTGGAAAAGGATAACTGATGGCTGCGGAACTACAACGACGGTCTGTCACATCACCGAACACAGCGTGATATCCCCAAAGGTTCTTGACCCCCTCATGCCACCAACCCTCTCTCCCGACTTGCCCCATCCAACCTGGCCCCTCATTACACTCTCTAACTCCATTAATCATGACCTCTCCTACACCCACTCTAATTGGCCCCATTGCCCCACCCGGCAAAGGGAGGCTTCTTCCCCCGTGGAACGTTGCGGGCTCCCCCCTGGAACGCTGCCGAAATTGAACCGACGATTGGAAATCCTCGTGCACCTGGAAACATTAGGGTGCAGGATAACGACGACCGCCAATAAACCTGGCGCTCTGCATGCACAACCTGGATCGAGTAGTAGGGTGCAGGATAACGACGATCGTCGGTAAACCTACTGCTCCGCATGCACAACCTGGACAGCGAGGATCAGATCGGCTCGTCCGCTCTGACCATATACAACAACACACGACTAATTCCACAAACACAGGATGTGCATGCCCCGATTACCCCAATTGAAAGGGTAGCAACATGGTCAACGGCCCTGTACGCTCCTGGGACAGACAGGTTAGGTACGATTGGAGGATTGCCTTGCCCAAGGGCGCCGCCTCCCCCCCCTTGCGGAAACTTCAACCCGCAGGAACTGGCGAAGATGGAGGCCTCCACCTCATCTTCGTGGGAATCGTGGCGCCACTTGCTAGTGCATTGAATAAACAAGTGGCCGGGAAGAGCAGAGCACCCCCCACCAAGGACACACTGGGAACAGTAGTCAATGAAGGAGTGGCCACGACCTGCGAACTACATCAAAGCACAAACCACGGAAACACAAATAATGACATAGAAAACATGTACATGCTGCAAACTCGAAGGACACGTGGAAAGACAAGGTTGCAGCCTCTGGCTCACATGAAAACGTCGGACCTTCCCCCCTGGGGGCAAAACATGAACATGTTGCACACTCAAAAAACACGTGGAACGACAAGGTTGCAGCCTCCAGATCACATCACAACATTGACCCCACCTCCCTGGGGTCCTTCAACAAAACGCCCCCACAGTTGCTCAGAGCACTCTCTGCTCCTGCTCACTCGAATGCTCATAGGGCTTCTGTCCTGGATTCAATGGCTCCACTGAAAAGTCATCCCATCCAACAACTATACGTAGAACTGGAAAGGAAGTATCAAGTCAAGGACAGTTTCCGCACTCAGTCTTCCCTGCCCAAGTAAGGATCACAAAAGATATGATTTACTCGCACAAAGCAATACAACTCCGTTTCCAACCGTGCCTGTCGACAGTTCCAGTTAATGAAAAAGTTAAATGGATCAGCAACAGGTTGGGAAAGATTAATCCAAAACGCCAGCTAGTGCATGATCATTTCCTGATTGAAGTGGATGATGCGGAATGCATCGCAGTGCTGGCCCTGTACTCGAATGACAAACAACTCCTCCTCAGAAACAGATTGTTGTAGTTCAGAGGCAAAACAGTGCAAGTAGCAGAATGGTCCCCAACCAACCCGCAATCAGGAGATGAGCGCAGGGAACATCTAATGAAATCTAACTTTTGGGTTGAATTTAAATTCATCCCCATATGCGTTCAAGGTGCGATCCTAACTGATCTAGAAAACATTGCCCATGTCAAGGGCTACATTACAGACTTGCCCACACTGCTTGTTGCAGTAGACTGGGATGAATCATATCTCTTTCCCCTCAACGAAGAATGAAGATATTCCCACGGAGGGAAGGAGTTCTCCGTTCCATTCAGCCCCAAGCAAGATCCATGGTGTTATGCATGCAAGGACAGGGGACATATGTACACCGACGAAACATGCCCGAACACCACCAAAACGAAAATAAAGGGTCTTGCGACTCCCCACCCCACGGATGAGGAGAGGTGGTTCCCTGAAAAAGAGCTCGAGGGCTGGATATTCCGTGCTTATGTTGATGTGAGCCCTTACAAATGGCTATGGCAAGGGAGGGCCCAACCGAAACTCTTTCCCTTACGGGCCAGAGTCGTTATGAGTGAAGACCCCAAACAAAAAGGGAAAAGGGTTGCTATGACCCCGACCGGGCAAACCATGATGGCAAGAAGGGAGGCAATGGGTGACGTACACCAGACCGAATACATAGCAAAAGGGTTGACCAGCTTGAGATAGAACACAAATCTATACATGATTTTAATTTATGTATTTTCACTTGAGTTTATAGCTATAAACTCAAGTGAAAATACATAAATTAAATTCATGTATACATTTGTGTTCTATCTCTTCATAGTAAAATTTTAAAATATATTATATTCTATTATTTTGTATTGTATTATTGTAGATTTATTCATGTACTTCTGACCACACTGCTCCTGCAGCTACCCCTCGTGCCCCGATGCCGACAGCCAACACTCAGACCCGGAGAGGACAAATGTATAAACCCAAACAACATGAGCAAGTGGTTGAAGCCTCCCCCGGCAGGACCTAACGGATCATGAAGACCCAATGCCTAAACAGCAACCCTCAGTCACATAGGTGCTGCACAAGACAAACAAGTTGTGGTCTTGCCCCAAACCATCAAGGGTCGTCCGGAGCATCCCGAAAAACCTCAACTTCCGGGATTGAAAGCACGAGCGCAGACCGAGATCCACAAACACATCACAAATAACGGCCTTCCCCCGGGAACAACATTACTCTCCCCATGACGGGTCCCCACCGCAGAGGATAGGGTCCAAAAGTGAGAAAGGGTCGTCAACTCACAAGACCCAGCAGCTGGAGGAGGGTACCGCAGACATGGGGGTTGAGCTGCAGCCGAATCATCACCCCCCCCCCCCTGAGGTTTCCACGCACACGGAACACAACGCCCGAGCGGAAAAAGCGCACTACCGCAGTTCAGGGCATCAACCAAGACAATAACCTACGAACACCTGAAATATTTACGCATCGTTCTGCCAACTCCGAACAAGATCCTCACACGCCCGCGCCATCTGGTCATGGGCAACCCTCCAAGGTTGCAGACCAACAGATAATCCACTGGGAGGGTCCTGACCTGAGAGTGCGAGAGGATAAGAGGTTGGTTGAGCCAAAGGCCCGACAGAATGCAGAGGGAATAGGATCATGTTAGCCGTTGCCTGGCCCCCCCTCCGAGAGGGACGCGAATCCTGAAGCCCGACATAAAGCGGAACAACCCATGACGAAAGAGAAACCAATGATAAAGGTCGTCTCAGAACTGACAGGGGGAACTAAATTCTTGATCCAAGAGTCTCCCCAACAGCTGGGGAATAGTGTTGCTGACCGAGTGCGTCGTTTACAGGCCGAGGTTGACGACGCCGAAAATCCCACGATTGCTACAACGCTGATAACTGTGAACTGTCGAGCGAGAACCCACAATCTAGACCAGACTACGTGTGTAATGGACCGGGGACTGTCCTCCTTAAGGAAACCGGTCACCCTACGGGGGACTAAGGAGGAAACAATTAAAAACCTAAAAGTTGATCAGGTGTAGCAGAAGGCAAGCTCCCTCCTCAATAAGATTAAAGACGTGGCCTTAACACAACACTGGGATCTGCCACGACCCAAGCAGTCCCCAAACGCCGCGCGAACACTGCCTTCCCCCGCACAAGCGGTTAACAGGTAGCCGAAAATTCAGAAATGAAAATTTTGAAGTGAGAGTTTACGCAGTCTGAAAATTCTGAACGGTCCTGAAGTGGTGAAAGGTTTGAAGACCCTGGAAACCACCTATTTAGGCAGGCTGTATCCTGAAGTGTTGAAGGGTCTCCTGAAGTGGTGATGAAAAATACGACTGTTGTTAACCTTCTCTCGATGACGCACCATCAACTCTTCGCTACCTTCATAACTCAGCTCGCCCCCTCCCAAACTCACCATCTTTTTCCGTCCCCCACCCTCCCCCCTGTCTACACCCCACTTTCTTCGCGTTCACTCCTCATCCCAAGCCTCTTCCCCTCTTCCCCCGAACACTATCACCTCCCCCCCCCCCCCCCCCCCCCCCCCCCCCCCCCCCCCCCCCCCCCCCCCCCCCCCCCCCCCCCCCCCCCCTCTAACTCGGTTATCCCCCCACTTCATTCCTCCCCGACCCCCTCCGTTGTCTGAAGTACCTGCTCCGTTCCACTGGGCAGTGGACAACAGCCCCAGGCTACAACCTCGAAGACGACCACATGAACTCAAGTAGGACTTTCACCCAGGACCAACCTGGTAGACGGTCTCATGGACAAAGAGTGGACCATAAGGAGGCTTCATAGTCTAGGTGCTTGTAGAATCAAAGGTCTCGAGGGTTAGGAGATGTGTCCTTTCCTACATATATGAAGTTGGTAGCGCTAGTCAGCACGGTAATGGGGGGAGGGTTGGGCATCAATTTTTAGGCATCTCAGTATGCATATCAGCTCCGGCCTTCGGTTGGTCATCGCAGAAACTTCCACTGCAGGGTCCAATTGGCTTGTTATGGATGTTATATTGAATAATTGTATTAATGGGATGCTGGGCCCGCTTCCCAGCAGGTGTTGCTCCCCACCAACAGATGGAGCCACCCCGGGCTAGCTTGAGGTGACTGCTCCTACCAGCATCTCAAGCTGTCCCATGGGGCTGTTTCTTTAAAA